AACTGTGAGTCGAGTCATTCATCGAAGAACCCATGAGGGTTCAGGTTTCCACGCCGGTCAGCGTGGATGGATAGGGATCGGGATCGTTTGTCTTCTTTGGCGTGCGGCTGCTCGACAAGAAGCAACGATACGGATACCTTCGTCCATAGGAGAGATGAGTTTTGCTTTTCCATCCTTTTCCAATTGTGAGCTTCCGGAGCCTTGAAAGCGTTCCGAAACGCGAGGTTGACTGAGTCATGTTCCCGCAAGACTCTTACTGCCCTGGATCAAAGCTCTAACCTTAACATTTCCAGTCTAAGAATTTATTTGATAAAAGGTAGCCTGGCCTGGGAGGAAGGAACGAGTGACAGTCTGATACCCATGTAGCTAGCTCTAGTTGATATACTGTACCGGTAGCAGAGCCTGATGTGTTTTAGAGCCCGTTGGCTGCAGTTGTGAGCTCGTGAGCTTATGAGCTTCACTCAAGCTGGTGTATCGGTACAGTACTATGGCTCGATCTTTTTATGAAAGGTAGCCTGAGGAAGGATACCGTACGATGTAGTCAATACCAGTAGCAGAGATCTGTGGGCAATAGTTATTTGTTGTGGGCTGAAACCGAGCTACCGGTACGTACTCTCTACTAGAGTCTAGCTATTGGTACAGTAGCGGGAAAGCGTTCTCAAACGCGAGGTTGATGGAGTCATGTTCCCGCCTCTACTTACGGGTACTTTTTAATCTCTAACCTTATTTAGCGATCCGTGAGTCCAAGTTCAAGTACGTGTTCCGCGTGGATAGTGGGAAAGGAACGCACTTTTATCGCTGTGACAAGATGCGGGCTGATGCAACAACAGGTGGCCTTGATGACGAGGCACTGTCTTTGTGAATGATGTGTTCAATTCCTCTTCTGCATTATTCTCTATTGCTGAGTGAGTATCTTCGGACGGACCATCAGCATTCTAATGCACGGAGCACCGACTTACTCATCACTGTTGATGACCTACCAGGTAGACTACCTCCTCTACACGACCACTGACCGAGCCCTTTATCTCTAACAATCACTGGCTACCAAGCTTGCTTGCATACCCACGGTCTACACCACGCAGAATTGCACCACACACAGATTCTGAATTGGCCGATAGCATTCGATTCTACTAGCTACCAGTAGTCATTCCTGCACACATCAGCCATCAGAAAAGCAGAACAGAGGGTATACCTTATCAGTCCACACAAGTTATTCTCTCCAGTCTCTCAGATCCTTCCTACTAGGCTCCAACGAGAATCCAAATAGTATAGCACAAGAAAAACCAGCACCATGAGCATGATGAGAACGCCAATACAGCGCTTCAACCTTGTCTTAATATCAGCAGCACTGTTGCTGAGTCAGCAGTCACTGGCAAACGCCCTGATCACTCACAACACTCGAAGTATCCGACCATTGACGACGAGAACTCCTACTAGCACCACTCCTCCGTCTGTGGGTATCATCACCACTCGACGATATGCTTCCTTACAACCGAATCCTTTTGACGACAAGAAGAAGGGATCGTTTTGGTCTCCTTCCGAGGAACGATCCAGTCCCCTAAAAGTACGGCGGCGGGTTCGATCGGCCTTTCAAAAGTTTGGTCGAGGCAGCAAACTCTCATCGGGTGAGTCGGATACCGCTGAAAAGACCACATGGTCTCGACCGGGAGAAAAGTCCAGTGCGTTGGGAGTGCGAAGTCGTGTGAAAGCCGTCTTGAAAAAGGCCAAGTCGAGGACGGGCATTCAAAACTCGTCGGAAGAGGAACCGGCAGGCCTTTGGGTCGCCGAAGTCGCATCCATTGGAGGACTATCCGAAGAAAGCGATCTGGTCATCAAGGCAAGAAATGGCAAAGCCAATGGTAAACCAGTCAATGGAGCAGCAGCCGCTCCGAATGGTAGCAGCAAGAGCAATGGAGTGGTGGTGAATCATCCCAGTGCCACCAGTGCCAGTAAATTGAGGGCGGCGGCTGTGGTGGATCTCGAAGTGCACGGTAAAACTAGCAGCAGCAACTCTCGCGGGAACTCGACCGTGGTGGACGGACTGCGAGCCGATGTTCCCACGGTACCACCCGAGCCTCTTCCCTTTACACTTCCCAAACTCACGCCCGAACAAGAAGCACAATTGTTGGCGGGAGAGCGCGTCCAAGAACAGTCCAAAATGGGACGCGAGGGATCCGGTTATGTCGTCATGGATGTCAAAGCACCGCCCTTTATCATTTGGGAATGTCTCTTGGACTTTGAAAACTATCCCGAACTCATCAAAACGGTACGATCCATGGAAATGTTTACCAGCAACAAATTGAAATCCGGGTATCACGCCGAAAAACCCGTACCGGCAGGAACCAATCGACAAATACGACACTACGGAATACCCAGTGTTACACGAGCCGCCTTTTGTCTCTCCAAGTTTCGATTGAACATTGCTGCCATTCACAATTATCGTCCTCATCCCGATGGACACTACATGGTCTTCAACTTGGATCCCGAATGTACCAATATGGTCTTGCAAAGTGCGAAGGGAATCTGGTACACAGAATCCCATATTGACGGACGGGGAGAGGTAAGATATTACCAACTATCGTGGGACAGATTTTTTTTAATTTGTTGGACACAAAACTAACTGACGAAATGCGCTCTTTTCGTATCAGGAGTATACCCGTGTTTGGTTGCTCTGCAGTCTAAAGGTATCGTCACTACTGCCGAAATTCATTGTCGACTACACTGCCAAGAGAGCCATGCCAAGAGCCACCAATTGGCTCAGACCTCACATTGAACCAATCGCCGAAATGTGGGCCGAAGAAGAACGAAAACATGAGGCAAAATAAACAAGAAGATGGGACTTGCAGACCCTGCAGCAATCTATCGCCTCTCTTTGTTTCGTCCCTGTAACTTGCAAGGATGCCAACATGGTTTTGTCGTTTGCCCTCCAGCTTCCAATTCCCACATCAAATCGGCAGTGTGGCCATTCACGAAACGCCCGCTGCCGAGAACACTTACTTGGCTACAGTACAGGCAAGTGTTGGGTCATTTATTTGCTGCTTGGCAAAACAGTCCATGCCAAGTTCAAAGGCCGACGAATTGCATTGGGCTTCGTCCATCACCACCTGTTTTAGAGAGGCAGGTAAGACTGCTCCATTGTAGATATTGAACATAAACAACAACATAGCCGCAATCAGTTTTATACCCTAATCACGCACGTACCAATTTGCCTCGTTTGTAAATGCAGATGAGGTCAGACATAGGCATCCAACGTAAGGGATTACGCCTGATACCGGTGCCCCCTCGGAATTTTCACCAATTCTAGCTAACCAACAATTGGCTGGAGTACCCCAATAATGACACTTTCATTTCAAGGAAAGGTTTGTGTTGTGAACCGCGCAACGGAAACCATACGTAAGGTTTAGTTTCGGTTGACTAACTCACAACAGCGGAAACTCCACCGTTTATGAGCTGATTTGAAAAGGTGATCGAAGGCGGAAAAGAAGTGAACGACACCGAAGCACAATTGAGCGCAGAACGCGGATGAAACCATGGATGTGGCCGTGGAGAAGATCTTGTCAACGCAAATAGAGGCCAGGAGAGGTAGAAAATGGCTTTTGTCCAAGCACGCTGTTGCGAGGGCTGGTCAAAGATTCGTTTCCTTTGCAGAGATCCGATCAGCTCTCGAATGTGGCACCAAGAGTGCCGCAGACAAAGGAGCTTGGGAGTACAGGTTTGCTGGGGTTATCGCGGTCGTCGACTCAACAGAAACGATAGTTCTCACCGTATACCCTGAACCTGGCTTTGGCATTGATCTCGATAAGGTTCCGATCAGCCGCGAGATGCAGTTGCAACACGACAAAGACTGCTCACGATTAGTGGGGGACAAGAAAAGCTGGACAAGCCATACTGTGGCCGTAATAGACCAGAGCGGATCAATGCGTGCACCAGACATTGACAAAAACGTGACACGATCCGATTTGGTATGGCTGACCTTGGCCGTTGATGTTGTCTATCATGGCATCAAGAGCGGTGAACGAAAGTCAACAGATGTAATGTCGGTTGTGTTCATGAAGGAGGATGCGACGATCGTGGTAGATCGTCAACCAATCGATTGGATACTGTACAATAAACTCATTGACATCATGAACACAGAGAAGCCGTCTCAAGGCGGCAATTACATTCCCGCCTTGGATGTTGCAGAAACACTTCTGATGTCGAACAGGAGCCGAAGTTGCGCGCTCACGCTCCTCTTCTTGTCCGATGGGAAGCCAAGCGACAAAGTGAAACGGGATGATAACAGGCACATAACTGCTACGGGCTGGTTAGAGAGGATGAAAGCGTTCACGTCGCCTCGAATTGAAGGACTTGCAAGCGTATTTGGCAAGAGGTTGAACATGTGTTTCTGTGCTATTGGACCACCGGACAACAGTGACTTTGGTGTCATTAAAAACTTGGCCAACAAAGCGAGAGAATATGAATGCCCTGTAGTTTACCAGAAGGCGACCCTTCGAGCCGATATCCTCTCTGCAGCGCTTCGCACGATGTCAACCACAACCACAGATACAATGACTACTCTGTCTCAGGTGCCAGAGTGTCACGTCTACCGAGATTTTGTGAAGATGAAGCAATCTGAGGTGGGAAGCCCTGTAGTCACGGACACTTGGAAAGTCTTTGTACAAAGTGAATCTGGCGGACCTCTTAGGCCTTGGAAAAAGAGAATCGTCAAATGCCAGTGGACCAGGCAAGATGGGTGGTCCACAATCCGTGCAGTTTTTTCCGATCCAACTGCGATCGGCCTTGCATGGGAAACTCGATGGTTTGGAGAAGGCAAGGAACGCCTTGCGAAGGAGCTCCGAGAGGTTGGACCCGATGAGGTGACATTTGTTGGCCCACCGATGGTGCTCAAGGCATCGATTACTGTTAGCCGATTGGAGGACGTCGATTCGCGAGAGTTTCACAAGCGCTTTTGCAAGTCACAGCTTAAAGCGCAAGATTTTGCTAGACTTTTCAACGAAAGGGCAGCCTCGCTTCCTGTGACTATTCCTCGCATTGAATTTATCCCATGCTGGGTTTACATGGTTGAGACTGAACCAGGAGAACGCAAGGGGTACCTAGTCGAGCCTGCACTCGATGTCAGTCAATATAGAAAGTTCAATGACAACGCTGGAAACGTTCATGCACACCTTGCTTTGAAGCGCGCTTCCAGCAGAAAACTGCATTTCAACGGTGCCTTTGCCTCACTACAGTTCGGCGCCCCATTGAACGCGATTTGCGAGGAGTCCGAAGACGAGGACGATAGCGACAATAGTGAAGCTTCAGCTGTCAAAAGAAATGCACAAGCCCATACGAGGCGCCTGTTTTGCGAAAAGAAACAATACGAGGGACTTTCGGAAGGACTGGACGAAGGCGATGTTTTGCAAGCATTTTCTTGTTTTACTTACAAAGTGGCTTCACGTCGCAGGTACCTTGTGTGCGACCTGCAGGGTACATTCGAAGAAGGCGGTAACAGTCCACTCTATCGTCTCACTGACCCGGCGATTCATACCAGTGCGCTAGCCCAAGAGGAAATTCGACAAAAGTTTCACGCAGACACTGGCTCAGACGCAAACAATGGGAGCAGGATTGGAACCACCCTCAGAAGATTCGGGAGGACTGACAGAGGGCAAGATGGTATTGACGATTTCTTTCGAACGCACCAATGCTCGAAGCTGTGCAAAATGTTGGGCAGTCGGAGACTACGTTCATCAAACGAGGACATCTATGCGACCCAGACGAAGAATGGGCATCAAACGACATCAGACTTTCTACGCGACTTAGACCAAGAACGAAGATTGAAAATGAGAAATGAGTCCAGCCATCAAAAGAGCTTCCGGCCAATTTGAATGGCAACCGCGGACAGGTAGTTGATCAGGACTTGGTATTGCTGTGGGTGTCTTGCTCAGCATCGATGTTCCTGAATGGAACTCGAGGCAGATTGGAAGAAGGTCTTTGGAGGAGCTGCACAGTTCGACTATTTGGAGCAGCAGCATCGTTCGTGGGCGGAATTTCAATGTATTGAGACCAGGACTCTTTGATGTGATGCAGTGTGGGTAGGTAGGTACTAGCCTGGTAGTTAGAGAGGTTACTGGCATAGGAAAGTATGTTATCCTGATTCGATCTGTGTTGCAGTGACGAACATCAGCGCAGAAGATGAACAGGATCAGCCCATGGCATTGCAATGCAAAATTGTAAAAGTACCTATAATGCAGTCAAAAATTGTAATCTCCGTCACAGGGAATCGAACCCTGGTCTCCCGCGTGACAGGCGGGGATACTAGCCACTATACTATGACGGATGGATGCTCTTGGCTGTTAGGTTATGAGCTGATTGATTCGACAATATTGTAATATATGTAGTCTGTAGCAAACCAGCATCTGATGCAGTGCCAAATCGGCGGGAGGCTGCCAGGAATTCCATGCCAAGCCACTAAATCCTACTTGCATGTCCTGGCATTCCAAGTAACACTCGAATGAACCAGCAAAACACTCGAATGAACCAGCAAAACACTCCACCAATCGGCCTACGGCAACAGCGGACAGCAGCGGAAGGCTAGTAGAAGGGCGCTATGGGGGACCAAACACCGTCCTTCAAACTATCTCGTACTGTGCTAAAAAACAACAGCACCATTCACCAGGGTACAGTTGACATGGCCACAGGTAACGGTAATAATGATTCTTCTAATGATGAGGAAATCACTGAACTGAACGGCTTGACGAAAGAACAGGACAACCCAGAAATCAATAGTACTGGAAGTGTTGAGATGGAAGATGTCAACCAAGAGATTGATGGAATCGGTAGTGTTGATCCGGCGGAAATACATGCAGCAGACAACACCAAGACGACAAAATCCCCCCTCAATCCACTGCCTCCAATTCTTGATGATATAGTACCTCTCCCACCAATCCATCCAACCACAGCACCAGCACCGGCACCGGCACCAGCAAATGTCCCTGGGGCTCAGTCTATTTATGATGGCTTTTCGGGAAATCCAAATTCTTTCGGCATCAACCACGGAGAGCATACAGCAAGCAATCTACAGGAAAGTTTCACGGAGGCAGCCATCCTAGAAATTGACAACCAAGAAACTCACTTGCTGGAGAGTGACGGTGCTGGTACAGAACCCAGAATACTACCCAAACACAGATCCAAGAAGCACTGGAGGCAAAGGTTACTTCGGGTCCTTTCGTTGGAAATCAATGTGTTCCTGTTAGCGGTGATGGCAATACTCCTGATAATTTTGGCAGTGTCTAATGGAGGACACACCAGCAGCAACTCCAGTCAACCAAATGTCATTGAAATGCCTCCAAGGAATCCCAGCACTCCACAATTGGCAACAATGCCAACAATGGCACCAACAACATTTTTGGAATCACTACCAGAATATTCACTGTCAGCTATGGAACGAGCACAGTCTCCTCAGTCCAAAGCCTATCAATGGCTCATCAGCAACCAAAACTCCTCTCAAGAATTACCTAGGTGGAGACTAACACAAAGGTTTGCTCTAGCCACATTCTACTTTTCTACGAGGGGAGACCATTGGGTTAGCCATCGTGGATGGCTCGATTGGGCGACAAATGAATGCAACTGGGAACAAGTCTACGTTTTACCAAATAGCACTCCAGAAATGACCTGCAATGAGAAGGGAGAAATCACAGTAGTGACAATTGAGAGGACCAACAACCTGGAGGGAACCATTCCACCAGAGATCTCATTGCTCGGGAACAGTCTCGAGTCTTTCATGTTGTATCGACAACTGACATTGACAGGAAGTATCCCAACTGAGGTCGGACTGCTAACAAAATTGACTCGATTACTTTTGAGTGTAACAAGCATTATTGGAACACTCCCAACAGAGCTCGGGTTGTTGCAGGATCTAGAGGAGATCACGATTCTTGAGTCACACCGAATCTCTGGATCATTGCCTTCAGAGCTTGGCAAGTTAGTCAGGCTATCGGCATTGCATGTGGCCCGAACCAATCTAGCAGGTAGGCATGCTTGTTGCGTGTTTGGCCATGCTCAGAAAGATACTCACGCTCACAATTTCGCAATTCTACCGGTAGGTTTAGTTCCTGTTGAAATTTTCCAATTGCATGGTCTTAGGTATCTCACCATTGAGGAGTGTCCTGGTTTGATCACTGAATGTGCTCTTGAACAAGTTGTTTGCAATATGCAGCAGCTGGTATCTTTTTCCTTGTCAAGCCGAAGTTTTGGAGCAGCCATTTCAATTCCATGTAAGAATCCGCCTTTCTGGCAGGTGTTTGTGATCATGATGACTCACATTTTTTAACTTTTTTCCAACAGCTGAAATTGGCAATCTCACAGAACTTCAACTCCTTAGGCTTCACGATTGGAGAATTCATGGCGCTCTCCCAAGTGAGCTTGGGAAGTTGACAAAGCTGGTAAGCTGGTTTGGTCAAAGTAATACCTGATTCCCTTTGTGTGGCTTACTGCAATTGCGCTGATGTTGTACATATTAACAGGTCGCCCTAGACGTTTCCGGCAACTCCATCTTTGGAACGCTGCCACATGAGTTGTTTGCACTGACCTGTGAGTATTGGGCATGTGCTTTGGCTATGCCCTTCTTCCATCATGTTTCGGTCTCCGCCAATGTGGCAAATGCGATGTGTCCTGCTGTACTAATGACATCCATGTCTACCCAACATTCCTTTCCCATAGCAGATCTGTACAGTTTACTGGTTGGCTCCAACCAGTTGGAGGGGACACTGCCACTTGATCTTTTCACCAACTTGGCAAGGTTAGAGTACCTAAACATGAATGGCAACCACTTTTCAGGTACAGTTCCAACTGAGGTTGGCCTGCTGTCTAGTCTTGTGAAACTTGAATTGCAGAATACCAGCCTCTCTGGCACAATACCCACCGAGCTAGTTGCCCTGGAAAACATGACGAGCTTGGCAATCAAAAATACATCTTTATCGGGCAGCATCCCTGAAGAGCTGTGCGAGAAGTTGTACCAAAAGCAATGGCAATGCCATCAAGTTGCACCCTGTCAACTTCTACCTGTTAAAACCAACACATCAGAATGCCATGGAACTGGTCTGTGTGGATGTGATTGTGGTCCTTGTCCATGAGAAGTCTGGTAGAAAGTGCCAGCTCTACCGTAGAGTTTCAAGATAGTGAATTCCTTTCAAACACATCAAATAAGGTGTTGGCCTGATGAGGAATACTTTTACTTGCTCACGAGTTTTTCAATAGCAGCATCAACCCACCCAGTGGCTGGATTGGAAGTTGGAAGGATACTAGTAGCTGGTCTGCAATAGTTTGTCGTCAGATGCAACAGCTGCAATTGCAACCGAAACTACTGGCTAGCTACTAACTAACTAACTAGCTGGCTGGCTGACCAATTAACCAGCTGGGGCTGTATTCCCGATGAAACAATCTGTTTCAAACGAGCTGAAGTTGTGCATATCAGAGCAAATTGGTTTCATCAAGGGCTTGACTTCGTTTGCGACCTCGGACCTTGTGCATGGACTCGTACCGCTGGCGTGGGGTACCGGTACTTAAAGGATTATTTTGAATTCGTTTTCATTTTTAAAAGGATACCCTCACTCCACGAGCCAAAAGCAATTTCGATCTTTGATATCAAAAAGCAATGCGCTGTCGTACACACATGGCGAAATTGGACACTCAGATATCAAAATGAGCGTGATACAGGGTCTGTTTGCATTATCCTCCGCTGAGCCACACGGTCCTAGATCAACTCGATACGATAGCCCTATGATGTCAAACCTAGTCACTTGCAGTAGCAGCGAAGAATCGTCGCAACAACTCCACGATCGTTGTCATAAAATGCATTCATCGTCTCGCCCACCGATAGTACTACCTTTTCGACGAAAGCAGCAGCGAGACAATCACATGGCGACCATTCGAAGACTCTCCGATTCCGATGTTCGCGCTATTTTCGAGTGCCTTCATCACAACAAGCCTCCACCTCCACATCTCCAATTCAAGATCGTGCCCGTGGGGCCCACGGGATTGAAGCTTTCGCCACCGTCCTTTGAGTTCGAAGGTAAGCAAGCAAGCAACGATCGATAGCGTGAACGTGTTATTCTTCGACGACAACAGCGATGAATTCCTCACTGTACCGTTGCTTTGTTATCCTCAGATGGTCTCTACGTTCTGCTCAAGCCTCAGCGAAAGAAGAGTCTTCATCCAGATTTCTCGTTGGTCCCGCCACACTTGATGCACCTAGCGGTGAGAGAGCCGCAAGCCGAAGTATGTCCTTGGAGCCTCAGTGGACCGCAGTTTCCCAAGCCTACAGCCATCCAGCAGCGATACTGCTACCCCAAAGGACGACCAGAATACGCCAGTCGAAAGGGCGGTGCCTTGTGGACCATGGTAAGTGTCTCTTCCAGCTGATGGATTCGCAATTTTTTGGAGCGACAGCTCCTGACGTTCTGATACCTTGCTAATACCGTTCTCTTCTCTCAATCACAGCATGGAGCCGACGGCAAGGAAGATGCCGAATATCGCCTCTTGCATGTCTATTACTCGGCCAAACGAGCTGTTAACCGAGGCGTCAAGGCTGCTAATCTGCACGGTGGCGCAGTGTCAGACGATTCCTATTCCCCTCCAGCCAACACCCGCGCCAAGCGCAATCGAAACAAGGCGAACTTGACGGCCACGACGACGACAACCCCCAAGTCCAAGAGAGCTTGTGTTCACCGAAGGATCAATTCTGCCAATAATGCCCATCATTTGTCGTCTCCCGCAATTACGACATCTTCTGGCAGCAACTCGTTCTGCAACTCTCCTGGGTCCTTGCATACGCTCCCTCCCGCAAGCTCTCAGTTCAGCCCTCCAAGTCATGTCCGAACCATTGCCGACGCGACCATGGACGATGGTACGGACGATACTCCCATGCCTCCCATTGAAAGTCACAACCTGATTGCCTTTAACGACAGTGATTTCGATATCACTCTCAACTCGCGCATGTTCCATCCTGTGGGGTCGACCGAGCTACGTCAAGTGGGATCCTTTGGATTTGGCGGTCCGGGCACTCATCCTTACCATCCCGGCATGTTTTCCGATCATCATCAGCAGGAACGACAGAACAACTTTCCTCTGATGCATCATTCCACCCAGGCTCTGGATACCATCTATTGGAACGATCCTCTCTTGCCCCTTCCCATGACGCGCAAACCCAGCTACGAATTGTTTTCGCCGACCCCACCGTCTGTTCCGACCCACGATGTCACGTCCTTTGCCAATCATTTGGAGTCGTTGCACAAGCAGATTTGTGACAAGATTAGTGAAGCCCCATCGGGTGACAAGGGAGCCTTGTTGAGCATCTTTACCGGTTGGGCCAATCACGCGGCCAAGGAACCCATGAATCCATCGGATGACAATGACAATGCTACTTCCAGCAACAAGACCAATGTCGCCCCCGCTAACCTGAAGAAAGAATAGGCAATTGTGCAAGAAGGAGAATAATAATGAGCACGGACAGTCCAATGTGGTCAAGGGAAGACTCCACATTCTTTAGTTGCTCGGAAACAGCAGCAATAATTAACACCATAACTAAAGCAATAGTAAAACCAAACTAGCTAGCTAGCTAGACAGTTAACCTCTCCCTCTGCCGTATCGTTGCCTTTGGCCAATCCTCTCTCACGACACCTGTCTCAGCTCCCAAAACCTAGCTAGCCTAGCTAGGACAACAGCTGGTCGAACGCTTTAATCAAGTCACCACAACCTTTGTCGGATGCACAAACACCGTAACACTCCGCCAAATTGTCGTTGCTCTACTTTTCTACAACTTTAGTGTTGGCAGCCTGGCTTTGCTACATACTTGTTGTCGCATTCATTCATTTATTGATTGCTTAGGCCGCCACAGTTTCTGCCTCGACCGTTGGTTCTTCTGCTTCGTCTTCCTCGTCCACTGGTTCTCCCGGCACTGGGATTTCTTGTTGATGCACTTGTTCCGGGACGGGTTCTACCAGTGGCTTGAGGGATCGAATGGAATAGAGTTGTACCGATCCAAAATTTAAATGTTGTACTTGTTCGACATTAAAGGAAGGTTGCGTCGACGATGTACAAACGAGTGAATTGACGTAGGCTTCAAATTCAACGGGCGATGGAAAGTTTTTAATGGAATTTTGCAAATGTTTGTACATGCGGGGTTGTCCACTGAGAATACCCCCGACAAAGGGCACGACGTGTTGAATAAATACCCCGGCAGCGCGTTCGAGAATGGCTCCTTCGGTGGTGGAGGGTTCGGAAAATTCGAGAATGGTCAAGAGTGCCTCCGGTGTGAGAACATTGTAAATTTCGCAGAGGGCCACATTGCGTTCGGGCACGTTGCGAATGCCAAAGGCCATGGTGGCGGCATGAAAGGAACTTGGTTCTAGTGTGGACGTCAAATCACGGGCATCGGCCCATTGGAGTTGAATTTGATCTTGTCGTTGTTGGTTTTGAATTTTGCGTCTGCCGACATCCAACATGCCATTGGAAGGATCCACACCGACAATGGTAGCGGAAGGAATCATGCTGGCCGTCATGAGTGCCACATCGGCGGTTCCCGTGGCGACATCGAGTATTTTGGGATCTGCGACATCTTGTACTTCGGCGAGGATGAGTTGTACCATTTGTTTGCGCCATCCAACATCCATGCGAAAGGCGAGTATCCGATTAATGGCATCGTATCGATGGGCAATGAAATCAAACATCGAATACCCCTTTTCGGCCGAAGCATCTCCAAAATCAAGAGGAGGAGGAACACCCTGTTGTTCCTTGATGACTTGATGAGAAAAAATACCCAGTACGGCGACGCCCACGACAATCAGAATTGGGATAGGGGACATGGTGATGAACAATTTTGAGTAATGATAAGCAAAGAAGTTTGTTGGGGAGAATGCAATGAAAAACAAGACAACTTTTGATGGCTGGGTGCTAAACTAACAGAACTGCAACCATTCAAAAAAGTGAGGCCTGGTGGGAAAGACGGCATGTTGAACTTTCTTTCTGACGTGTTTTTCGCGATCCATGCATTTTATTCCTAACCTTCCTTTTAGCTTTGTCCTTACTAATATTTTCATAACTTTCGGACTGGGCTGCTGGCTGTACCGTTCGTACCGGTAGTACCTACCAGGTACCAGGGGGTGCCTCAAACCAACCGGTTTTGCCTCTTCCTTTCTTACCCCACCTTTCTGACAGTTTGGCGATTAGGTACCGTCTCCAACCAAGTTTAGCCATCTTCAACCGCTTTCGACCGCCTCCAACCGGCTTCAACCGTCTGTTTTACCGCCTTTTTACCGCCTGTTTACCGCCTGTTTACCGCCTGTTCACCATTTTACCGCCTGTATTAGCCTTAACCACTCCTTACCGCCTTTGACCACTGTTCACCACCTATTTTAATCAAATGGGTACCACATCCAGGTGGTTGGGGATATATTCAGACAAACAAGATTGATTTGAGGAACCCCCCAGTACATGTACTAGCTACGGTAGTATGTATCTGCTTGCAACAGTTTGAATCAACAAAGCTACACCGAATCATTCGAATCTACATCAATGTCTTCATCAGCCACGTCAAGAACACTCACCTTGCCATGATTTCCATCTAGCTGGCTAGGTCTCGCTCGCTCTGCTTATGCATTTCTTGATTCATTGGCCCCACGCCTTCAATGGTGATTTGTGGCCCTTTGCTATGGAACAAGCTGTCTATCTGTGGAATCATATGCCTCGGGAGCGCAACGGATTGGCTCCAGTTGAGTTGTTTACTGGGGTTAAACTTCCAACTATGAACCAATACAACAACTCGGGTGTTCGGGTGCCCCACTATGTGCTGGACCCAACTCTACAGAATGGCGAAGCTATTCCTAAGTGGCAACGCAAGTCGCGCCTTGGTATCTACCTTGGTGCCTCCATGGATCATGCTAGCACAGTAGCTCGAGTTCTCAATCCTGATGACTGGTCCATTAGTCCCCAGTTTCATGTAGTGTTCGATGAGCTCTTCTCTACCGTCCCTGGGGGGCTTACCGGTGATGTGTTTGATCCAGAGACCTGGTCTGGTCTTCTGGAAGCCGGAGGACTCCAGCGATCCATTGATGCCATTGATGATCAGGGCAATCCTGCTCCTGTTTCTGACATGTTTCGAACTTTCCTGGATTCCGATGACCACAGCACTGCCTCCTCGGTTCCAGAGGGAGAAGAGACAGACTTGGAACTCTCGGACTCAGAGAATGAAGATGATGATGAACCTCCAGTCACAACACGTGCTGGACGCCGCGTCAAGCCTAATCCTAAGTATGCAGCTACTTTCTGCGGCTACACCAAGAAGCCTGACAAGCCCTCCTGTCCTGAACACCAACAACAACGGTACCAAGCAGGAGGCAACCCTTTCCAGAAGGTGAGGAATTATGACAGAGAAATGGCCTTTCTAATGGGCCTCACATGGGACAGCTCTCTCTGCCCTGAAGTCATCCGACACCAGGAGTCAGATGGCAGAGATGTTAGCTTCCTATGATCCCTGTCAGGGAACCATGGAAGAATGGAACCCACTTGCATTGGCAGCCAAAGCCAATGACCCAGACACTCCCAACTGGGAAGAAGCCATGAACAGTCCTGAGAAGGATGGCTTCTGGAAAGCATGTGAGAAGGAGATTGACACTCTCAAGTCAATGAGAGTTTGGGATGAGGTTCCGCGCAAGTCCTGGATGAATGTTCTTCCTGGGACCTGGGCTTTCCGAATCAAACGCTTTCCAACTGGTCTGGTGCGTAAACTGAAAGCACGCTTCTGTGCTAGAGGTGATAAGCAAATTCATGGAGTAGACTTCTTTGAAACGTATGCTCCAGTGGTCAACTGGACAACAGTCCGTCTGTTGCTGATCCTCTCAGTCCAACTGGGGTTAGCTACTAGACAGGTTGACTACACTGCTGCCTTTGTGCATGCAGACATTGACAATCCTCCAGGGTACGATCTTATGTCCGAAGAGGAGAAGGCCAGACAAGGAGTCTATGTTGAGATGCCAAGGGGTTTTGCAAAGGATGGCAAGGTCTTACGGCTGAGGAAGAGCCTCTATGGTCTCAGACAGGCACCGCGCAACTTTTTTAATTTCCTTAAAAACAACCTAGAAGCAGTTGGATTCACCCCTGCTACTGAGGTAGACCCCTGTCTGTTCATTTCGGACAAAGTTATCTGCCTGGTCTATGTCGATGACACCTTACTCTATGCTCGAAACCAGGATGACATTGATGAAGTTCTGGCGAAATTGAGAGCTAGAGGAATGGTGCTGGAAGAGGAGGATGATGTTGCTGGGTTCCTAGGGGTGCAGATCAAGCCAAATGCTGAAACTGGAGAGATAACCTTGACTCAGTCTGGTGCAATACACGGCTCTTAGCCTTATTCGCGACTCGATCCTAGATAGGGTCTGAGTTCGACTCATGACGTAGTCCTTCGCGAATAGTCATTGGAGCCAGAATTCTCAATGACCGCTCTAGTCATACTAGGTTGATGATGAAACATCGCTCTAGATATTTAGCCAGCGTGGAGCACTTCCACGCTACTAGATAAACGCTAGACGAATCTTCCACGCGTTCCGTTTTGGGATCGTGGAGAGAGTAGGATTGCTACCGCAACCTACTACTCTATCACACTCTAAGGTCTCCCGCGGGAGTTCGGATCTACGATCCTTTGATATTGGATCTCTCTCGTTGACTATTTAGTTTTTTCTGAGCTTTCTAATCCTCTCATAAGCTTTATTCTCTCAAACTCACACTCGAAGATCTTTACCACTGCTTTAGCGTTAGGTGGTGTTTCAACCCTCATTAGATATCTCGCTATTTTGCTCACCTATGAAGATTGTAAAGACGCGTATTATCTCTTTTTCC